GCAGGCAATGGCCTGCGTTAGGGTGTTAGCGTGGTTGCTGTCGGTCCGGCAGCGGGTGGCGGTCTCTCTCCCAGAAGGGAACCTAAATTCTGCCCGACTGGTCTCCTCTCTAGCTCGCCCCAGTGCGGTGTAGCCGTCTGAGCCTGGTCCCTTCTGGCTGGGGAAGCCGAATGCGTCCGTCGGCCGTCCAGCAGGGTGGCTCACCGTGCTGCTGAATCTGTGTGTGACCATGTCTCCACCGGAGATGGGAGGTTCTTGCGGCTGCCTGTGTCTGAAAGCGAGGGAATTCAGCCAGGCTCACCCGACTTACTCTGCAATCCTGCCCCTTCCGAGGCTCCATGCATCCGCCAGGGCTGTTTGGTTTTGTGGCAGCTGGAACCCTCCTGTTGTCACGCCGTTCTCCTGCAGCACATAGTGCCCAGCTGGGCAGAAAAAGAAAACAGAAACAAAGCAACCCCCTAGCACAATATCTGTCCGGTGAGCTAAAAGATGGCACGTGACTGAAGTGACCTGCCCTTCCTTTCCTTCAGTTTCTTAGGTGTCCACGCTCTGGTACAAGAATGTGACTTCATTCGTTTACACTTCATTTGTGAGCAAACACAAGATGGAATGTTGTACCTGTGTTATAGCAATTAAAAACGTTGCCTAAATATTGCCCGTCTTCTGAACGGGCATGAATCCTGAAGTTTAGGATCTCTTAGCAGAGCGGTCAGCTGCCTCTCAGAGGAGTTGCTCTTGGGTTTACGACGCAGCTATTTTTAATGCATGCATTCACTTGCTCGGCTGCTGTCTCCTGGTTTTCTGTTCATACCGCCGCTCACCAGAACGGTGCCTGGATGCTGGGGGATCGCAGCCTCCGGGTGCTTTCAGAGGAGAGCGTTCCAACTCGGAGGCAGAGCAGGCATCCATCCGCACGGCTGCGGCTCAGCATCGCTTCTCTTGTCCCCCCGGGTGAACAAGTCTTGAAGAAAACACATAAAGATTCCATTCCGTGTTCCTTGGCCTGGGCAAGCTCTTCCAAAATAATGTTTTATCTGTATCGCATGACCTTCTCCTCTTTTTTTCCGCCGCTGCCACAGGGCGTGGGCTGCCCTGCGTGAGCAGATGTGTTCGTAGCGCTCCTGGAACGGAGGGAGGGAACGGCTCCTTTTGCAGGTGGGGACTTGGGGCAGGAGGTTGGCTGGGGATCACGGAACTGCCCTGGAGAAACGGTTCCAGATAAACCATGGATTTCTTTCTGCCCGTGTCCCTTGTGGTCAGGTGCTTCTTGCTGTTCCCAAACCTGATTTTCGTGGTGTTTTCCCCCAGCGTAATGGCAGGGTTATTTGAGGGGGGGTAGACTTTGGCTGGTGGCAGGGCTTGCTTTGTGCCGGCTGGGAGGGTTTGTTGTAGGAGAATGGGGGGGACGGGCCCTGCTCTTTCTCCACTGTTGCTTTCTGTTCTAGGGTAGCAACGATGAAATGTCAGACAATGAAGAGGAGATTGAGGAGAAATCGGAGAGCGAAGGAAGTGACTATTCCCCCAACAAAAAGAAGAAGAAAAAACTGAAGGACAAGAAGGAGAAAAAACCAAAACGGAAAAAGAAGGATGAAGAGGAGGATGACAACGAGGATGGAGGCCTAAAGGTACTGAAGATTCCTTTGCCCCGAGCTGGTGCTAGAGCATGAGTCCTCCGTGTGTGGCCAGACCCCTGTGAGTTGCCTCCTTCAGAGCCGAGCCGTGTTCTCAGGCCACTCACCTTGCGCTGGTGAATGATTTCCCTTCGTGTAGAGCGTGGCAGCGTAAGCAAAGCGTTCCCCGGCGGGCTGGGGATTTAGGCACGTGGTGATGTGCGCTCACAAGTGCTGGTGGTACCTCTCGAGGCGATGAAGCCAGTGTGTTTCACCCTGAGGTGGGAGGCCTAGCCAGCTAGCTTGGATCTTCTGCCGAACGGCAGCTCCTCAGCCTGAGGCAGCTTGCCTTCTTGGATCGCCTGCCCGCATCCCGCCCGTAACAATTCATCGTGTCTGTCCTCTGAACACGAGGACAGAGAGTGACAGAGCAGCTCGTGCTTGGAGAAGGTGGCTCAGGGGTTTCATGGGACGCTTGTCCTGGGCTTGGCGAGGGAGAGATTGCAGCTGAACGACTGGGAGAGGAGAGGTGGTATTCCCTCACTGTTTATCTTGCGTGCAGAGAGAAATTCAGTTTCTCGGAGACGTGAAACCTGCCAAGGCCTTGTGCTGTATTGCGTGGCATGGGGAGCATGCGGATGGTGCCGCGTTAATTTGCTTCTCGGAGGTGTGTAAGCATTGGTTTATTGAGCACTTGTGCTTGCTCTGTTTTTTACATCACAGAAAGAAATGCCTGCGTGTTGCTGACTCGGGAGAGCATTTGATACAGAGCACGTGACGGACCCAGCCTTGCGCTGCTCATCTGCAGAGCCGCGGTCGTTTGTGTTAATGATGTCTCTCTGTAAACCTACAGGAGCCCAAGAGCTCAGCCCAGCTGATGGAAGAATGGGGCCTCGATGACGTAGATTACATTTTCTCGGAAGAAGATTATCATACTCTGACTAATTACAAGGCCTTCAGCCAGTTTCTCAGGTAGGAAACTGTAGGGCTGGAGGGGGCCTTGGGGAGCGGTTGAGATTGGGGCATTGCTCAGTCAAGTGGGTGAAGTTGTGAAGTAAGTTCTGTATCGCGAGCTCCTTGCTGCTGCTCCCTGCCCGACTCAGTCCTCAAGACTCCATTTTCATTGCAGGATTGACTGGAAAACAGCTCAAGTGTTTCTCTCTCCTCTTGAAAAGTTTCATTGCATAACGAAAATTATTTTTGCTTGTGCTGCCAGCCATTCAAAATGCAACATTTCGGAGGAGGGCGGTCTCTGAGGAAGTTTAAGTGTGCTCCTTTATGTATATTTACTCATTTAAGAAAGCTCTGGTTTCTGCTGCCTTTCTAGTGGAGCTGCTGGTCCATTTCTTAGGCTGAAGTACCAGCACAGGACGAGCAGGAGCGGACCCGCAGCGAAGCGTTTTGTTAACGCGTGGTTTTCTCTCTCCCCTGCCCTGCAGGCCTCTGATTGCCAAGAAGAACCCCAAGATCCCCATGTCCAAGATGATGACCGTGCTCGGCGCCAAGTGGCGAGAGTTCAGTGCCAACAACCCATTCAAGGGCAGCTCAGCAGCAGCGGCAGCACCAGCCGTGGCTGCGGCGGTGGAGATGGTCACCGTCGCCCCGCCGCTTGCCGCCAGCCCCCAGCAGTCTGCCTTGCCCACTGTTGTCAGGAAGGCCAAGACCAAGGAGGGCAAGGGTAGGTGCCAACCACGGTGAGCTGAGTGGAGGGGCTGCCTTCGCCGGCGGCGTACGGCCGCCTCGCCAGGCCTGCAGAGCTGGGAAAGCTGCTGCAGGCAGGAGACACGCTGCAGCAAAGTGGGCAAGCAAAGGTTGTGCCGGAGGTGTGTCTGCAGCTCCCGCTTCCCTTGCAGAAGTGCTAGAGAGGGCTGTGGCTTGTGACCCCTGACAGGTCACCCTGGCGGCCTCTGGACCTTCTGGACTTTGGGTATTTTGTGGCAATTAACACTCACCTTCCTTCTGATATCTTAAATAAGCGATTGGGCCATGTGTTTCTGTGCCATCTTCTATCACAGGGATTCTGCAGGGTTGCAAAGCCCTCCAGAAGCCAGCAGTTAGCGAGGCTGGGGCAGAGGTGCGTTGGCAAAGTAGGTTTGGTCTGGCCAGATGAACGTGCCCTGTTGGGCAGTCGAGCCGGGTGCTTTGTCTCTGAGATGGCAAGGAGCTCAGTGATGGAGAGGCATTGGTGGTGAGGCTGCCGCTCTTTTTCAGAAGAATGGATTTACTCTTCTGCCAGTTGAGCGAAAGGCAACTGCCTTCAAAGCCCACTTGCAAGGCTGAGCCAGCCCTATAAATCTGCAGTAGCTCCTCCGGAAACAGATTTGTACTGAAAGGGTCTCCAGCTGTCAACGCCTCTGTTTCTGACGGCAGATCGGTGCTGCTTTCCCCACGCTTGGAAGGGGCCGTGCGGATCGCTGTAGAAGATGGGCTGTAGTGGGAAAGGGAGGGCTCTCCCTTTGTTAGCACCGTGTTCCTCCTCGGGAAGGCTGCTGTTCCGCTTGTGCAGTCGTCAATTCCTGGTGCCTCGAGAGGTGTTGAACAAGCGGCTCAGAGCTGGCAGCTGACCAAGAGCGCAGCTTGCAGCAGCCTTCCCGTGCGGTGGTCTCAGCGTTCCTGCTGCTCCGTGGCTGCCTCTTTTCTCTGGGCCTTGCAGACCCCTAAGTCCCTGTTTGGTATTTGCAGCCCTGTGGTCCCTCTCCTGGACCCCAGGGCAGATGCTTTCCTCCCTGGATTCTTCGCAAGCGCTGGGGCTGGGCTTGCAGCCTTTTGCCTCAAGGACGAGTTCTGTGGATGGTGCTAGGCGCTGCCTGGCTCCCCGTGGTCCCCAATGCTCTCTCATCCATCCTGGGGTTGGGGTAGGGGGGATTTTGGGGACAGCTGGTTGTAGAGTACTGAACAAGTCTTCTGTTTCTCCAGGTCCAGGTGTGCGGAAGAAAATCAAGGGCTCCAAAGATGGGAAGAAAAAGGGGAAGGGGAAAAAGATGGCAGGCTTGAAATTCCGGTTTGGAGGAATCCCCAGCAAAAGGAAAAAGGGCTCCTCTGTAAGTGCGCACCGCCTTTTTCTGCACGGGGCCTTGGGTGTGGGGGGCGCAGCAGGGAAATGCCGGGACAAGCCCTCCCCTGCAAGCCTCCCGCGCGTAGGGGGTCACAGCCTCACTCGTGCCCCTCTGCGAGGCGCCAGTCTCCGGTCAGCGCGTTTGTTCATCCAGGCTCCGATTTGTAAAGAGGTTGTGGACGTGATTTCTGCGACAATTATATAATCATGTTTGCTTTCGGTGACGAGGTTGGTAATGCCATCATTTCAGATTTCATTTGCAAAGGAATTCTTCAGGGCTTGCACTCCAGCTGAACCGTACGTTAAAGAGAATTATCGAATGCTTTAATTACATTAGCATAGCCTGCCTCCTGGCATCTGTGATCCCGCAGCATAGCCCAGGGGTACCAGGGCTTCCCAGTAGGAGCATGGCAGCAGGGCTGTACCGCAGTTTGTGTGCCATGCTCTTGCCAGCACACGAATATCAGGTGCATTTTAAAGAATAGCGGAGTGCTTTAAAGAATAAATCTCTTAACTGCTGAATAGGGGTGGAGCTCTTGTAGGTCTTGATAATATTGATCAAAATCCCATTGGCTCGCCCTTCTTGGAGCTCACTGACTCTCTGGCTCTTGTCCACATAATGTGTTGTAAATAACTTTATGCGTCAGAGGTTGAAGCGAAAGGAGCGATCCGAGGCAGCCACTCGCTGCTGTGTTTTTGCAGTCGCACATCACCGAAGATTCATCCTGTCTCTAGGTGCTCTCTAGACCCGTGCGTTCGCCTTTCTGAAAGTTGCAAAGAGCTTGGCCTCGTTGCTGCAGCTGGAGCGCTAAGCACCCAGTTAATGGCATGCAAATCGGGGATTTGCGGGCAGAAATCGCCAGAATAAGAACTCAGACATGTGGTTATGTTTTGACGCCATTGAATGCTGGGCCTGTTTAACTCCTTCCGTGCCGTAAGGAAGGCCAAGCATGAACGCCTACGTGCACACACACAACCAGGCTGGCACAAGGGGTGTCGAGAGAGAGGGAGAAAAGTTCTGCCAAGTGGTGGAGAAGGGGGCTCCTGACTGCCCAGGAGTGGGAGCAGAGGGTCGTCCCGCCACGTGTCTGTTTAGGGTGACTGTGCCCACCATGAGATTGTCACAGCAGCGGGGTGTTGCAGCTGGCTGATGCTGCTGCCTGTGAGACGCTGAGCCTTTCCCGATGTGCCTGGTCGGCCGCACCGTGCGGTATCTGCGCTCTGTGCTAGCGGGGACGGCAGGGGTCACCCGGAGCCCAGCGGGGACGGCAGGGGTCACCCAGAGCCCAGTGGGGATGGCAGGCTGCAGGGGTCACCCAGAGCCCACCCCTTGTCAGGGGCTTGGCCTGTTGATTTACACATTTTAACCGTGCCCTGAGATTTGCTCGGTGATTGCACTCTGGTGGTGCTGTGAACTGGACAAGCTGCTGCTGTGCTGAGCAGTGCAAGGTAATTGCCTTCAGGCTCCGGTGATAGTCCAGATCTGCGGTGATTGATTGCCTGGCTGGGACATGGATCTGATAGCAGAGACTCCCCCGCTTCCTAGCGCCTCGTGACACAGCCCCATGAATCCTGCCTGTCGTTGCCGGGAGCGTGCTCACCCTGCCACCATCCCTGCTCCTCTGGCTAGTCGATTTGGGTGGAGAGGGGGGTGCCCCGAGGAGCTCAGCCGCTGGTCGATGATCCCACGCAGGTTTATGCAGGTCTTTGGGGGTTTGTTCTGCTGCAGAGCGGCGTTCTCTGGGGGTGGCCGCTGGGATGCCAGCGCTTGGACTGTGTGTGCTTTGGTTTTCCCCTCTGCAGAGCGAAGAGGAGGAACAGGAGGAATCTGACTTCGACAGCGCCAGCATCAACAGCTCCTCAGTGCGCTCCGAGTGCTCGGCTGGCCTGGGGAAGAGAGGGAAGAGGAGGAGAAAGAAAAAGAGGAGTAGGCCATCCTTTGTACTCTGTTCCGTTCAGTTTGGATTGCCCTCTTCGGATGGTGCTTTCCTGGCCTTGGCAGCTCAGGCCGTGTCTGGGGCTGGCTCAGTGGGAGAGGTGGTGCTTGTGCTTGTCTGCGTGTGTGGAGTGCGAGGTGCTTTCTGGGTGTCCAAGCCCCGCTGCTGGTGGGCTCGTGCCTGCGAGAAGGCAATGAGCGGGTCCTGCCGCGGGGCGCTGGCTCACACCCACAGTGCTGGGGGCGGCGGAGCAGCCCGGCGTTCCTCGATCTGCGGTCAGCTTTCCCTCTGCGCCTCCCTGCAGCCGTCAGCCACTGCCTGGGGCTCAGCTCCCCTCCAGCCAGCCCCGCGCCGCCACTCGGAGTCGCTTCGGGAGGGCGGCGGCACGTGTGATCCCACCAGGATTTGTCCTATAGCAGCAAAGTTGCAGAATTTGTGGGGCTTCCAGGGAAGCGATTTTCTGAGGAGCAGCCCCTGGAGAGACGTAGCTTGTGGCAAGCTCCCAGTGGAGTAGGGCAGGCTGTGGGTGAGAAAGTGCTAAAATGAGGGACGTTTTGTCTGCATGAGATGCTCGACCAGGCAGCGGGCAGGTGGGAGATCTGTGGTAGCGATGTAGGAAGAGGGAGGCACGTGAACAGCGGTGGAAAGCATCTGTCAGGGTCCGCCAGCGGCTGCGTGGCCACGTTTGTGTGCGTGTTCCTTCATCCCTTTCCCCACGCAGGGCTGCGGGTGGACGCTGCACGATGGCACCTCCGTCCCCACGCTGCCCTTGAGAGCAGCCCCCTGCGCTGGGTGGCCCCAAGCCCTGCTCCAGCCGCGGGCACTGGCAGGGACTGCCGGGCCCAGTGCCACCCTGCGTGGCTTCCCTCCTGCTCCGCTGCAGGATGCGCGCTGCCTTTCGGCCTTGCATCCTTGCTCGGGATGAGATGCTTCAGATCCAGGCGCATCCTTTGGCTTCTTGGCTTTGCCGATGGGTTTTTGCTTCTGAGAAATGGCAGGGAGGCTTCTGGGCTGGGGCACGGCTAGGGCGTGATGCCGGCCAGCCTCTCTGTTGGTCGATGAGACAGGGCTGGCCGGCGGGCTCCGCGTCTCGCGTGTGAAGGGCGTTGCTTCTCTTCCTGGCTTGTTGGCGCAGGAGGGCCCTCGTGCTGGAGCTAGGCAGCTCCTGCCGTGTGCCAGAGGAGCGGAAGGTCGGAGGTCCGCGCCGGGAGTTTGTGGCTGAGCTGGGAATTGAGATGAGCTGTTCTGGCACTTGCAAGGCCTTGTCCCTCCCTGCCTCTTCCCATCCACGCCGAGTTGAGAGCGCTCCCGCCTCTGTGCCAGTGAGCACCCAGGAAGAGCAGAGTAGTCCCAGGAGAGGCCTCCTCCTCCTCCTCGGCCGTGTCACCCTTGCATGGTGCGTTTGCAGTTGGTGGCGCTGGTACCTGGGGAGGTTTCTCTGACTGGCCTCCCTTGCAACCTCTCCAGGTTCTGGCATTCTCCATTGAGAGCCTGAAGGAACCAAAGGATGATACAGTGTGGAGAGAGAAAGAGAGACAGAGGTGAGATGATGCTGTGTGCAAAGATGAACTGTGGTGCTGAGGGACAGAGAGGTAGGGGGATGTAACAGGAGGGGTCCGAGGCGAAATGCTTTCCTTATTTCCTTAACTCTATCGTAGAGGAGCGAGTGTCCCGTTCCCTCCCGGGAGAGCAGGCAGCTCTGCCGTCCCTCTGACTGTATGCCTGTCCCTTGCTTGCAGTCGAAGAAGGGGACGGGTACGAGACGGACCACCAGGACTACTGCGAGGTGTGCCAGCAGGGAGGGGAGATCATCCTGTGCGACACCTGCCCCCGCGCCTACCACCTCGTCTGCCTGGACCCCGAGCTGGAGAAGGCCCCCGAGGGCAAGTGGAGCTGCCCCCACTGTGTGAGTGGGGTCAGGGCCCTGCGGGCGGGCGGGCAGGCGGGCGGCAGAAACCCTCAGCGTTACGCTGGCTGTGCTTCCCCAGGAGAAGGAGGGCATCCAGTGGGAGCCCAAGGAGGAGGAGGAGGAAGAAGAGGAGGGCGGCGAAGAGGAGGAGGACGACCACATGGAGTTCTGCCGGGTCTGTAAGGATGGAGGGGAGCTGTTGTGCTGCGACACCTGCCCGTCCTCCTACCACCTCCACTGCCTGAACCCGCCGCTGCCGGAAATACCAAACGGTGAATGGCTCTGCCCTCGCTGTACAGTGAGTGTTACCAGCATTCCTCGCCCCATCCCTGCGCCCGCCCAGCCCGGGAGCAGGTCTCCCGGCTGTCGCTGCCCCTCGCACCCTCTGCCCATGCCCTGCCGCAGGGCCAGCATCCTTCCCTCTGCCACAACCCCCGTCCCTGGGGGAGCATCGCTGCCAGTCGTGTGCACCCCAGGGCCCTGGACGGCTCTGCCGCCTGCGCCGTCTCCCCACGGGGATTGCTGGCCGACGGCTTCCCTGCCAGTTCAGATGGGATGTCAAGCTCTGTTTGATGCACGGCCTGTGCAGAGCTGCCTTTCTTGCCTGGTGGCAAGACGTGTCCCCGCAGGGGATGCGGCAGTGTCACGGACGCTTCTGGGGCTCGCCTGTGCCAGCCCGCCTCCACCCGCCCCACGCGCCCTCACCGCCTCCTTTCTGTCCGCCCCGTTAGAAATAGCAAATGGGTAGCTCTGCCCAGGACCTCGGCAGCGCTTTGCTTGCGCCTGGGGGCGGTGGCGGTGTTTGCGGGGTGAGAAAGGTGCAGCCAGGGTCTGGGACCGTTCAGGTTGCCCGGTTTGCCACACTTGGCTCCCTGCGGCCAGGGGAGAATCCACGGTCGCTCTCCCCTTCTGCCCTTCAGGGCTGCTCTCTTCCCCGCGGCCCCTGACAGGGGCTCACCTTAAACTCTGTGCTCTTGCCTGTTTGCTTTTTTGTCCCCAGTGCCCTCCCTTGAAGGGCAAGGTCCAACGCATCCTGCACTGGGCCTGGAAAGAGCCGCCAGCCACCCCGCTGCCGCCCGTGCTGCCCGCCCCAGATGCGGAGCTGGCTCTGCCCCCGCCGAAGGCGCTGGAGGGGATCCCGGAGCGCGAGTTCTTTGTGAAGTGGGCAGGCCTCTCCTACTGGCACTGCTCCTGGGTCAAGGAGCTGCAGGTGAGCCAGCGCATCGTCGTCGCGTCCCTGCCCAGCCTGCTGCCCCGCCGCCCGTGGGCTGAGCGTGGCTTCCTCCTGCTGCAGCTGGAGCTCTACCACACCGTGATGTACCGCAACTACCAACGGAAGAACGACATGGATGAGCCGCCGGCCTTCGACTACGGCTCTGGCGACGAGGACAGCCAGCGGGAGAAGCGGAAGAACAAAGACCCACAGTATGCCAAGATGGAGGAGCGGTTCTACCGCTACGGCATCAAGCCCGAGTGGATGATGATCCACCGCATCCTGAACCACAGGTGGGGAGCCGCATGCGGGGGGGCTCATGGATGGGCCATGGAAAGGTGCGTGCCAGGGTGCCCGAGCCCCTGGTAGGGCTGGCGCCGAGCGATGCCATTGCAGGCCAGGCAGGGAAATTGCAAGGGTGAGCCCTGCCATGCTCCCTGGGAGCCCTGCGAGTTCTGGAGGTGAAGCTTTGAGCCGCGGGTCCGCGCTCTCTGCAGGCGTTCCCTTCGTGCGCAGCTCTCACACGGACGGTTTACACAGTTAGCTGAGCCTCTGGGACTGCCTGCTGTGGGATTTCGGTGCTCAGCTGCTTTCTGCCCCCCGGGGCCAGGAGGTTCTTGTTGTCCTTCTGCAAAGCCAAAGTCTTGGCCTGGTGGAATTTCAGCTGCTGGCTTGTTTCGAGGTCTCTGTCGCCTTGGAGGTTTGCTCCCGAGGTGGAGGCAAGGCCAGAAGTGAATCGATGCCTGCCTTATTTTCATTTCTGCTGTGTTGCATGTTAGAAACAGGGATAGTGGATGCACAGAGTTGTTCTGGTTTTCCCAGACATTGTTCGGGTCCCTGTTAAAGCCCAGTCATTCTGTAGGTTGCTGCTGCAACCCGGTGATGGGTCTCGCTTCCATAGATTGTGCCCCACTCACCTAAAGTGCTTTGGAACAGCAGCCCGTTTCCGTGTCGGTCGTTTGTTCCTCTCGGGAGCTGCGCAGCCCCTCTGCGCTCACGTCGAAGGTGAGGTGCCAGCAGGGATTGGTGTGCTACGCGTCCCCGAGGGGTACGTTATTCGCGCCTACCTTCCCCGACGCTGAGAGGGATGGTGCCCGAGGAGAGGAGCTCAAGCAGGTGCCTGACTCCCTTAGGAAGCTTTGACATTTGCATTTCTTTTCCGTGGAAGAAATTTCCCACATGTGAAATGTGTTGTGCAGGTGGTTTTTTTTACATTGAGCGGCTAAAGACTCCTTTTTGTTGAATTCCTGCATTTCAAGTGGCAACTTGAAATTTCACGTGGCAGCTCTGCTTGAAGGCTGCCTGGCAGAAAATAAATAAAGCCACCTCGCTAGTGTTCACGCGAGCTTTACCTTATCCGCCGATAAGGGAAGGGTTTTTTCCCCCGCAGGCACGTAGTCGGGCTCGGTAGTGTGTTCATTCATTTTTCCGTGTAAGGAAAACTGCACAGAGCAGCGAACGCTGCACGAGGAGGAGGGTGAGCGCTGGAATTCATCCAGTCCTGGTGAAACAGGAAAATGGGGTTGTTCTGTGGAGTGGAAGAGCAGCCTTTAAAGCTTAACGATTTAACACACACGGCAGGTTAATAGGCATTTCTGCCGGGAAGCGTTGGTGCTTTATGGCTTTCTACCTCTGCTTGGATGTCGTGGTCTGTAGGTGAAGGCAGAGGATGAGGCGTCTGGTTTTGTGGAAGCAGGTTATGGCCGGCTGCTTCCCGGGGGCCGGGTGTCATGTCACTGATAGGCTTTTTGTGCCCTGCACTACAGCTTTGATAAAAAGGGAGACATCCATTACCTGATCAAGTGGAAAGACCTGCCGTACGACCAGTGCACCTGGGAGATGGACGAGATAGACATCCCGTACTACGAAAACCTCAAACACCTCTACTGGAACCACAGGTACGAGCCAGCCAGGCTTCGTTTTGGATGAAGTTGTGTGGGCTGTTGGGAGGGGAGAATTAACACTCCATGAGTGCCCGTGCTAACTGGGCTGGAAAAGCTCCCCTGGGGAAAAGGCAGCGGAGTTCAAGAGGCGTTTCTGTCCCTCGGCTTGGGGACTGGGAGAGGAATGCCTGCCTGCCTTTTCCTGATGCGCGCTGGCTGTTGCAGGGAGCTGATGCTGGGGGAGGACACGCGCCCTCTGAAGAAGCTGAACAAGAAAGGGAAAAAGCTGAAAGAGGAGAAGCTGGAAAAGCCTCCAGAAACGCCTCTGGTGGATGTGAGTAGGAACGGTGGGAGCAGCGCGATGGCACGCGTGCCCAGAGAGCGGGAGGTCTGTCTGGCCACCCGTCCCAGTACATTTTTCTCCTCTAGTTCCTTCCCGTTTTTTTTCACTCAAAGCTCCGGAGTGGCTTTGCTGTGAGGAGCCTGAGGGCTGGGCTGTGCTGGGGACCGTGTCTGCATCTCTTTTGGGGCTGTTTGGTGTCACAAGGCTAAAGAGGAGTGTGCTTGGCTGCAGAGAAAGGAGAGGGGGGGTTGGTTCTCACTGCCTTGCGTTGTGTGTCTCTTTGCAGCCTACGGTGAAGTTTGACAAGCAGCCGTGGTACATTGACGCCACGGGAGGCACGCTCCATCCTTACCAGCTGGAAGGGCTAAACTGGCTGAGATTCTCCTGGGCCCAAGGGACGGATACAATCCTGGCTGACGAGATGGGGCTGGGGAAGACTGTGCAGACCATTGTGTTCTTGTATTCCCTGTACAAGGAGGTGAGTGGAGCGTCCAGCAGTCCCAGAGGTGGCTGAGAGCAGCTTGGTGCAGGGAGAACAGCTTGGACTTTGTCTCCCTGAGCAGGGCCACTCGAAAGGGCCGTATCTGGTCAGCGCCCCTCTCTCCACCATCATCAACTGGGAGCGTGAGTTTGAGATGTGGGCACCTGACTTCTATGTCGTGACCTACACGGGGGACAAAGAAAGCCGCTCGGTCATCCGGGAAAATGAGTTTTCTTTTGAAGACAATGCCATCCGGAGCGGAAAGAAGGTCTTCCGGATGAAGGTGGGAGCCAAGTCTGTCCCCTACCCAGTACTTTACCCTTCAGTAAGAAGGGGAGAGAGCAGGATTTGACCTGGGGAGGGCGGTTGGTTAGGTCCCTCATCAGGTGTTTTCCAAGAGGGGAAGCTGGCACTGTTTACAAATGCAGATTTGTGATGAGCTTTAAAGATTTCTGCTTCTGTCATCCCCTACTTGGTTCTAACCTTCAGATGGGTATAGGTTTTCAGCTGGCATGGCTCATGTCTCAGCCCTGCCACTGGCGCTGTGCTGCGCAGTGCGGGCAGCCGCCCCTTTGCTCCTTGGGTGCAGCAGCAGAGGTGGAGGCCGTTCCCTGCTCTCTTACCCAGGCTTTTCTCCCCCTCTGTTCCTCCAGAAGGAAGCCCAGATCAAGTTCCATGTCCTGCTCACCTCCTATGAGCTGATCACAATTGACCAGGCGGTGCTGGGCTCCATCGAGTGGGCCTGTCTGGTGGTGGACGAAGCGCACAGGCTGAAGAACAACCAGTCTAAAGTAAGTAGCGGATGTTTGTGAGGGATTTTTGTGGTGCAGCCGGTGCCACAAAGATACGGCACCCTGGCACTGGCAGTCTGCTGCTTCCGCGCTTTCCTCCCCGGGAGCCGAAAGATGCCTCACACAGGCTCTGCCTGGGACCTGTATTTCGGCGGATTTGCTCTCCTTAACATCCTCTGGCATTAAAAATCCTTCAGTAGTGGAAGAGGTGGCAGCCAGGCTTTGGTGGGCTGTGGTGGAAGGGAGTTGATCCCTCTCCTTCCTCTCCCCTTTACCTGAGGCTAAATGCAGTCTCCGGCCTCTGGGACCTTTGCAGGGTCCCCAGCGCAGGGGGAGGCAGGCACTGTGACCCAAGGACGTTCAGGATTGCTGCCTGAGCTCGGTTGGGGTGGCTCAGAGGGGGACATGCAAGCTGCAGCCTGCTCTGCATGCCCGGCAGGAGGGAGAGGTCGCTGCTGAGACTGTGTGCGCAATCTGCAGAGTCCCCAGATGATCCATCGGCTCCGCTGCGCTCTTTTCACCTCACCTCACCTCTTTTCCCAGTTCTTTAGAGTACTAAATAGCTACAAGATCGATTACAAGCTGCTGCTCACTGGGACTCCGCTCCAGAACAACTTGGAAGAGCTCTTCCACCTGCTCAATTTCCTGACTCCCGAGAGGTTTAAGTAAGTTGCACAAATTCCCCCCGCTGAAAAGGGAGAGCAGCCAGGACCCTGGCTCTTGCCGGCTGGGGGGGTGGCTCAGCAGAGGTTTTCCAGTTTCCCGGGGCTCCTGCCATGTGCAGGTGCCTGGATCCAGTTACTGCTGTGCCTGAGCCAGTGCTGTGTGCTGGCAGGCCGATGGCAAAGTGCGTCGCCCCGTGGTTTGCCATAGCAGCTACAGCACGTTTTATGTAACCCCAGGTTTATTCCTGTGGACTGCTACTTTTTGGGTCCTGTGGGTACCTATTGGCTTGTTGTGGGCTAGGAGATTTGTGAGTGAGGAACTGAAGCCTGCCTTCCCTTCCCTCTCTCCGAGGAGGCAGAGGTTCTTTGGGAAAGTCGTTCAGACCTCCTGTTAGTGCGTTTAGGGTAAATTTCCCCTCTGCCGTCAGTGTGGCTCCTTGGTCTGGCTTATGCTCTGCTTGGATACAGACACGGAGGTGTTACCTCATCGTATGCCATGAGAGCTCTGCCCTTGGTTTTAAGTCATAAAGAAACAGATACCTTTGCTCTCGCGTGTCCCGTTATCGCTCAGCGCGGCGTGGTTCTGGCTGCTTTCACAGTAACCTGGAGGGGTTCCTGGAGGAGTTCGCAGACATCTCCAAGGAGGACCAGATCAAAAAGCTCCACGATCTGCTGGGTCCTCACATGCTGCGGCGGCTCAAGGCAGATGTGTTCAAGAACATGCCGGCCAAGACGGAGCTGATCGTGAGAGTGGAACTGAGCCAGATGCAGAAGTGAGTAATTCCAGCGCAGCTCCCCGGCGTGGCTGGCTTCCCTCGCCCCCGCCTCACCCGCAGCACGGTGGGGCGTCCCTGGGGTTCCACAGGCCGGAGACACCCCGCTGTCCTCAGGCCTGCTGCGGGAGGAGCCGGAGTGCTTTGTTCTCACCGGGGAGTGCGTCCAACCTGGTTAAATTGGGCTCCGTGCAGCCCTGGCTGCGCAGCGGGAAGCGTTTGATGGGTGGCAGGCTGTCAGCGTGGCTCTGCTCGTTCTGGGGAGCACAGAGAAGCACTGGGGCTGAACCCCCTTCTCCCGTTTGTGGCACCGGGGCACCAGCCTGTGCTGCCAGCTTGCCTGGCATCAGCCTGGAGCATCACTGCTGCCCCGGGGGGGTGCTTGCCCAGCTCTGTTCTGACTCGCTCAGCTTCAGTGGCATCTTCTGCCAGGATTGGGGACTGGCAGGGAAGGGCACGGTGGGGCAAGGCTCGGTTTAAACCCAGCAGCGAGGAGCCTTCCTAGCCAGTGTGCCCCCGAATCCGTCCCACTTACAGGGGCTGCAATGTCCGCAGACAATTGAATAAGCCCGGCCCCGGGCTGCGGGCGCTGAACTGTCGCTTTGAAAAACATCCTAATTGTCCCTTTTGAAGTGATGTGAGTGGGGGTTAATTTGGCGCTGCCCTGCTTGTGCCAGTCCCACGTCTGGCCCAATTAACAACGGTGTCTGTCCTGTCCCCGTCCCTGCAGGAAGTACTACAAGTTCATACTGACGAGGAATTTCGAAGCCCTGAACTCAAAAGGTGGTGGGAACCAGGTCTCGCTGCTGAACATCATGATGGACCTGAAGAAGTGCTGTAATCACCCGTACCTTTTTCCTGTGGCGGCGGTGGTACGTCAACTGTATTTGCACCGTGGAGGCATTTCTCAGAATATCGTGTGTAAGCCGTCGGTGGGGGCTGTTCCCACCATCTTGCTTTGGTTACTGGTGTGGGGTTTCATGCAAGTGGTTTCATACAAGGATTTTTGTCTTTGAAGTGCATGTGAATGTCTCTCTGTAGTTAACGGGGGTTGTCCTCAAAGAGGCTAACCAGGATGCCTTCACAGGAGGCCCCGGTTCTGCCCAACGGATCCTACGATGGGAATTCTTTGGTCAAATCTTCCGGGAAACTGATGCTGCTCCAAAAGATGCTGAAGAAGTTACGGGATGGGGGCCACAGAGTTCTGATCTTCTCCCAGGTGAGCGTAGGGAAGGATTAATAATAAATACGTTTTTAAAGGATTTTTTTTGTTCTGTATGAGAATTTTGTGCTAGGAACAGATAGAGGTAGGTGGAAGAGCTGGTGACAGCTTGTCCCCCAGACCGCGTGGCAGCTGTGGCAGTCACGACCGATGGGCTGTGTCCCAGCTCTCTCCTGAGGGATGCACTGGAATGTTTAAAACCTCTTTATCTATGGATAAAGAGGAGATGACAGTAATAGTGCTTCCCTTTGGGGAGGGCCGTTCAGACACGATTCCCTCGTGCTGGTGAAGCTGCCTCTAGAAGACGAGACGTGAATGTCGCTCCTCTGGCCGTTGCCTGTTGGCCGCACTGTGCCGTTGGCGGTACGGCCGCCACCCCGGCCTCCGGGCTGCGG